GTTTTGAACCCCCCAAAACATGATTTACTGGACCACCATTTGGGTTACCGCAAAAAAAAAAAACCGGGGTTAAAAAAAAAAACCGGGGGGGGGGGGGGGGGAATTCAACTGGTTTCGGGTTCATGCTTGCCATCGGCGTAGGACCACCGGTTGCCTCGGTTGCAAGCGGAAAGATGGCTGTGCGGCGATGGCTGTGCGTTGTGACATTTCTCTGATATGAAGAGGAAAACGTCGAACGTTGAGGTGGCTGCCCATACGCGACGGACGCCGTCCGCCACAACAGAGGTCACGGCGAACCTACCCCTGCTATAAGCAGTACTGCGGCACGAACAAGAAGCATGTATGCTAGCCGCACGAGCAGCCACAGCAGTCGACGGCACTGACTACGAACGAATCAGCCAACAATATCTCCGCGTGGTACTCGATCCAACGGGAAGTTGTACAATTGGCGGGGCCTCGATTTCTGTTGAGTATGTTTTTCCCGTGTAAACCCGGCTGGTGCGCCTAGAATTGTATATACTTCGTACCAAAAGGCGTAAGGACCGACGTCCAGACAACAAGGGGTGAAAAAAAACAAAAACGTTATAAGCGGGCCTGCTGCTGTACACTATACGGTGTTTCAGCTCCCAAGTGATGCCGCCATGTGAAATAAGTTTGTGGAGAGTGGGGGGGGGGGGGGGGGCCCCCCCCCTTTTTTTTTCCTCCCCTTACCGTTAAACCCTTTCCCCCCCCCTCCCCAAAAGGCCCAACCTTTTTCCCCCCCAACCCCCCCCCCCTGGCCCACCCTTCCCCCCCCCCCCCCCCAAAGGGGCCCCAAAATTTCCCCCCCCATCCTTCTTTCCCAAAAAAATCCCCCCCCCCCCTTTTCAACCCCCTCCCCCCCCCCCAAAAACCTTCCCCCCCCCCCCCCCTTTTCCCCCCCCCCAAACCCCCCCCTTTCCCCCCCTTTTTTTTTCCCCCCCCCCCCCTTTACCCCCCCCCCCCCCCCTCCTCCCCCCAAAATTCCCCCCCCCCCTTAAACCCCCCCTCCCCTTTCAAACCCCCACCCCATTTTAAATTTTCCCCCTCCCCCCCCCCCCCCCTAATTCTTCCCCCCCCTTTCCCAAAGCCCCTTTCCCCCCCCCCCAATTTTACCCCAAACTTTTTCCCCCCCCCCCTTTGGCCACGGAAGAAAACCCTTAACCCCTTTTCCT